AAAATTAGTAATTAGGATCGGAGATACTAGCTTGTAAGCTACACTGAAATCCGAGGATAAATAACGCTCATGTATGTATGTATGTTTTCCGGTCAACTAACCTCCGAAACTCGATAAAAGAAGGTTTTATTCCAATGACTGGTAAAACTGTGAGAGATGTTACTGTTCCACCTCTCATTGTTGGAGACTCTGCATTTCCCCTTCGTTCTTGGCTACTGGAACCATATACCAATGCTGTATTGACACCATAGCAGCATTACTTCAACTATCGCTTGAGTAGAACACGCATGGTCACAGAAGCTGCATATGGCCAACTTAAGGGGAGGTGGAGGGTCTTGTTCAGGAAAAAGGAAAGCAGCCGAGATCAAGCCCGTATAACCACTCTAGCATGCATGGTGCTTCACAATACTTGTATTATGCACGGAGATGCCATCTCGAGGAAGCTTAGTTTGTCTCTTGATGAAAGTGGTGGAAAGAGGAACAGGGATGAATTGAGAAAGTTTTTGCAGATGAGACTGTGTAAGCATAAGGGATGATTCTCGTGAGGCAGGCAGAATCAGATATGCACTATGTGAGAAATTATGGCTTGAGCAGCAAACAGGGAAAGTTTCGTAAACCCGACAAAACCCATCATAAGTGTAAGGGGACACTTCCCCTATTCATGCATGTAGTATCCACTTTGCACAAACTTTGAGCAAAATTCCTTCCAATCTGCTAGCTTGGCTGAACTGGCAGAGCAGTTGCATTCAGTCAGTTTTATGTGTATTTGATAATGGGGGAACTTGTGAGTATCCTCGATTCCATGGAAGTGGTGGTAAGGCTTTTGTTTGATCTGATGTAGTTATGCTGGAGTATTTTTACAGATGCAACAAATCTGTCTATTAAGGTTATTTTTAAAGCACAGACTTCTTACCCAGATTGTACAGGACAGAATAAAGTGATTTCCTTTGGGCCATGAAACAGAAACCGTGAGTTTGATACTATTTTGCACAACAACTACTGGAAACTGTTTCAGCGTCTGAAAAAAGGTACTCTCTAGAATTCTTTTATAGTCACCCTTTTGCGTACATGCAAATAAGCCTTCCTAGTCCCGATTTTGAGTAAACATTCTTGTATTGTTACACATGCTGACGACGCTAGGAAGGCTAATTTACATGCATTTAAAAGAATAACAATAGGCCCGCCCCACCAGTTATTAAAGAAGTCTATTACATTGCATAATGGCCCCACACTCAAAATCATTATAGCATTTTCATGTCTGAGTTTAAAGCAAGTTGTTTTGACTGTCAGTGTCTAGGGCACTGCTTTTGATGTTCTTTGTTACACGTAGAAGTTGTAAAACACTCTAATCATTGATCATTGAAATATGAGTAATAATATAAAATGTTGATCAAAAACAACCCATACTGATTATGATATACTGTAAAGAGGGAAACAATTCTCTACATTGATCCATTTTCAAAAATGCGTTTGCAATATTGAAACTATTGTTTATTTTGAAACTGAGTCAAACTGTTGTTACTTCCTCTTTGTACTAACAACAAGGTTCTTTTTTAATGTATGCAACTTTAGGTGGAAGGGGAAATTTCCATGGATTGCATCATAGACTTTATAAAGCAGTAACAGTTCCTTCAGCTAACCTAATTCACAAGCTTTCTGCAAAAAATTAACTATTGATTTCACATGTTTCTTTTTTTTAACATTTATGATATCAACAGTGACAGAGCTATAATTTCATTAAACAAATGTACAAAAAAGTAACGAACATCACAGTCCAGTATAGTCCCTTCGTGTAGTCCCATTGGGTTAGGGTAGGAGGCTCCAAATGACCATTCAGACATCCTCGGACCTGGATGACTTGAGGGACCCTGTGCAGCAGTATGCAAGCCTGGGTAATAGCTAAGATTTCCACTGTATGGTTTGTGTTCATTTCCAGAATATGGTGTGCTACAAAGGCTGGCATTGGGTCTGTGGTTGAGCAGAAGCTGAAACAATCTAAGCTCATGCTCTCGGGTTTTTTCCATTTCTTCTTTCATGACTGACATCAGTTCTTAGTTGGGGTCGTTTTGAACAGCCTCTCCTGCAAGGGTCAATACCTCTGTTGTTGCTGAATCCAGTCTCTCTTTAGACGACTGCCTTCTTTTTGTTTTTATTGGAACAAATGGTTCTTTTTCCTTGACATTGTCATCCGAGATTTCCACAGACAAATCACTAGGTGAACTTGAAGCTGAGGGCTCTAGTGCCAAATTGGGCTGGCAAGATTCCCTTGTCTTCACCACTTCAAAGAGAGTGGTGAACCACTTTCCTAATCCTTGATCTTTTTTAAATCGTTGGATTCCAGATGCAATTTTTTGTGTCAGGGCTGCCTGCTTACACAAAGAAACACATTTTTTGAACTTGCTTCGCAATATTGATTCACAGAGAAATGGAAGTCTTCACCTCTGACAGAAGCTCTGGCTTTAACTTCTTTCAAAATGTCTCCTTACAGCTCTCCATTTCTCTGATTCTTTGTATTTGTGAAAATAAGTTTCTTTTTATATTAGCTGTTACTCACAGTGAGATCATCAAGTGCCCGTGGACACCACTTGGCTTTTCGACCAGGTTTCTTTTGCTTTTGTCCATTGCCTCTTTTCATGAAAAGTTTGAGAGATGTATCCGAGTCTTCATCTTCTTCATCCACTCCTACCTCGTCATCATTATTGTCTGCTGTAG